AAAAAAATTAAAATTTCAAAACACAAATTTTAAATCATCAAAAAAATCAAATTTTCAAAAAAAAATTTTGAAGGGAATTTAAATTATTTTAATATTTCAACGAAAAAAATGTACATTAGCTAAAATATGGATCTAAATAAAGGCTTTAATTAAGTAAATTTATATTATTTTTTCTCTCAGAAGTTTAACAATCTGAGATGGTTACAGTTACCATCTTCTTAAAAATATTTTAATATTTCAAAGAAAAAAATGTACATTAGCTAAAATATGGATCTAAATAAAGGCTTTAATTAAGTAAATTTATATTATTTTTTCTCTCAGAAGTTTAACAATCTGAGATGGTTACAGTTACCATCTTCGATTGTAACAGTTATAATTTATAATAACTACAATCATTATTTTTGATAGTAATCGTTACCATTATTAATAGTAACTATTACCATTGTCAATGATATAGTAAGAGTTACTATTTTTGTATATTAGGTAGTATAATTAATTTTTCTCCGTGTATGGGTATTTTTTTCTAAAATACGATATGATTACATTAAAAAAAAATAAAGAATTTTTGTAAATGATTAAATTTTCTATGAAAAAGTACTTTTACAAATTTTTCCTTCGTTTCATTTTTTTTTTTTTAATTTTTCATTCTTTTTGTAACTTAAAAATTTTTTACTAAAGTTTAAGTTTAAAAAATTTTGAAAATATTTCGATTGAAATTCCTCTAGTTTCAATTTCCAAGTAGCTTTTCTTTATTTGTCCTCTCAAAATCACCATGATTGTTAAATTATGTCTTAAATTGTTTTTTAATTCTGCCAGAAAATAAAATTCCCTACTTACTACCCAAAAAAATTGGAATTATGAGTAACAATTATCATTGGTAATAAAATGAAACCCACTGTGTGATGTCTATAAAATTAACTTAACAATTGATAGAAATTTGGAGAGCTAATAATAATTATTCAACAAGTATAAGACTTACTTTGTATATTTTATTACATCAAATAAATTAATTATCGTTCAACTCATAAAAAAATTAAAAGAAAAATATTTAATAATAAATTAATAAAGTAAGATTAAAAGAAGGAAGTGATTCTCTTAAAAGTACTATTTGTAAAAAGTGATAATTATAAATTATCAATTTTATTTGCTGTAGTATATAAATATCAATGAAAACTAATAACAATTAATTATCGGATTATATTTAGTGCTTCAGCGCGCAACAATTCTTCTCTTGTTATATTTAATAGCAAGGCAATTTACCATTGAAAGATTAAATGACGGAGTATTAAATAAATATTCCCGTGCATTTGCAGAAATTTGAGTAATTGGAGTTAAATTAACAATATAAAAAATTTAATTGATTGACACAGTATTTGTAACTTTTAATCAAATAGAATAAATGTAAAAAATCAAGTGATAATTGATATCACGTAATTTTTTAATTAATCCTCATTTGATTTCAAGAGAAATATTTTCAATATAAAATATTTTTTAGAAAAAAATTCAAATAATTAAAAGTACATTTTATTGAATCAAAGAGTCTTTTGAAAAAATTTTAATGAAAAATTAATTAAGTATATTGCCGCGTAAAAACTTTTAACACGCGTCTGACATCATGAAGATTAATGGAACTAAATTGTAAGTAGAGAGACAAAAAAAGTAAAAATTTGTGTTAAGATCTTTAACAAATTAAATGATCAATAAAATAGTCGTAGTTAATATTTATGAGTTGAAATATATTAAAAATTGTAAATTAAATGGAGAAAAAGGACTTTGATTATTACAAAAGTATTGAAATGATTTCTTAGATCAAACAAAATTGAATATAAAGGATTGAGTTTAATTGAAATTTTTAGTAAATGAGCATAACTGGGTCTTTAATCTTGGAAACTTAGTCCTTTTCCCTTGAATGTTGCATTTAGTTGAAAGATAAAAAATAAAGGGGATAAAAGAAATGTTGAAAAGAAAAAACCGGATGAATTTAAACATTATCCCAAGACGGAAAAAAACGAGTTTTGAGGGAAGTTTTTTTATGTACTCTGACACGGTTTTATTATACACAAGGATAAGCAGACGTACTGGAGATTTTTATAAACTTATCTACGAGATATACGTGATGTTGCTGTGTACATTTGTGCTTAAAAACGAAGATAAAAATTATGAAAAAGTAAATAAGTAAGATGAAAATATGGAGAAAATATGTATTTTTTACATTTAACGCCGCAGCTAAAATCGTGATCCTATGAAGATAAGAAGTTTTCTATGAGTTTAAACTTTTGCCAGTTAAACTTAAACTTGTTCGCTGCATATGAAATCTAGTTACTTATATTCATAAAGTACTTTTACACCAGAGTTATGTAATAATTCTGACGTCTACGTTCTAATGAATTTTTGGGTGGAGAATAAACGTCTGTCCATGCATATTCAACATTTCATCCTGAATTTAAAATGTTTGTTTTCCCATTACCCATTATTAACATACCAATATCTAGAAGTATTTTTTAACGAATCTTGTTCGTATAATTAATAAAAAAACGAAAAAACATTTAAAACGTAATCTAAACTGTGATGAGGGTAGAATAACGATTACCAGTACGGTGGAAATTATAAAAAACTACTAAAGGTAAAATTATTGTACGGAGCAGTCATGAAAATTTAGTTCATGAAATTTTTGTAAAAAATTAAAACCAATAATATTCTTCCCAATTAAATCATTAAATTTGTAAAATCAAAATTATATTATTCACTCACCGATAGTTGACATGAGAAATATCTTACGACGATAATGTATCTGGCGCCAGTAAGTGCATGTAGTACCTCGAGATCCATCGTTGTTGGGTTTATCACCTGCAAAATTCCGAAACCGTTTCGGAATCTTTTTGAGGATTAGTAGATATCACTCTAACGAAGTCACTGCAGTCAATCAAGGTCTCTCCTTCCCTGTAATTTTTTATTAATTAATCTTTACAATTATTAATGAATTTAGTAGAACTATTAAAAAATTATTTCTATAAATTTATTAAGCAACTAAATCATTTTGTATAACAGAAACGAAATACTAAGAGATTTTCTTGAATCAAATAATAAAATTTATTTTATTATTTAATAAAATAATTATTATTATTTATTTAAAAAATAATAATTGTTATTTATTTTTATTATTTAATTTATTTTATTTAAAATTCAAGCCAAGATAAATTTCTTGCTTCAAAAACTTTTCTACTTGATTCAAAAAATGAAAATTATTCAATACAATAATCTTTTGGTTCATGAGTTTTTCTTTTGAATCAAGTTTATTTTTTTTCGCGTTTATTACGATATTCTCCGAGCTCATGAATTTATTCAGTGATAATATCCTTAATCAGGAGACCAATTTAGATGTTATTTTTTAAAATCACCAAATTCACTATCAAATGTTCAAGCTTTGAATTTGAAAAGTTAATTTAGCATTACATCAATCAAGAATGAGTTGTCTTTGCGTGCATTTTAATTTAAATTCTTGATTTTCATACTAAAATGAGAGGGTGCAATTATTTATTTTAAATAATTTATAAATAAGTAATAAAAAAAGTTCAATGTCATTAAAAAAAAAAAAAAAAAAAAAAAATTATAATTTAATCGTCTGAGAAATCGAAAAATTAAAAAAAATTATTTCAATAAAAATTACCGGCACGTCAATGTGACCACACAGAACCCGCAGAACGCATCATAAACAATTTAAAAAAAATGGCGGATTACATTTTCTTTCTATTCACGTTGATAATTTCTCTTGACAGAAGAATCTTCTCAGTAATTCTTTACTTAAATTCTTTTTTTTACTCAATAATTAAGTATTAAGTGAATGAAGACCCATCTTACAATTGTTCTCATCTCGTGACATGCATATTGTTTGTTGTATTCATGTCCTTTACTTCCTTTGAGCGTGACTCGCTGCTCGCCTCTCTATCGAATCCACAAACTTCTATTCTACTGCGCAGCATCTCACTGCGCATCGGTCGTACACATAGTCGAGCCATGAAACGTTTCGAGTTTGAGATGTACAGTCTACAACCAATAGGAATTTACTATTTTTAAATTCAACCAATAGGGAACCGAGTGCTATTTTTACCGACTTTTTGCGAACTCCACTTTTAGTATATATTAATATTTTGTCCGTTAGATGGCGGCACTTACTTAGTTAATTGGAAATTTAATGTTTATGTAAATTTGCGCGCGAAATTCAAAAGTTTTTAGACGTAAAAACTATGATACTAAAATTCGCTGACGTTCAACAATTTTCTTTTTTTTTTTCAACTAAATTACAAGTAAAAAAATACTTAGAAACAATTTTACGTATAATATTTCAAATCTTCTACGTGTAAAATTTTTTCTTTTAATTTTTTTGTAATAATTTTTTCAATAAAAGAAATTATAAAAATTTTCAATGTCGGCTAATTTAATTTTTTATGTAAAAATTATGTGAATAATTGTATTGTATAAATCATAATCATAAATAATAAAAACATAAATTAATGAAGATAACAATTTTTTTTTCATTGATTTGTTTTTTAATTAGATTAAAAATTATTGTAGCTTACAAAACACTAAATTATAAATTGGTACAAAATAATTGCTGAAAATATTATTTTACCGAAATTTATGAATAATATACTTAAGAATTAATATCATAAATTGTAATTTCTTAGATATTCTGATCAAGATATTGTACGCTGTGACAAACCTGAGAAATACTGACTTTATATTATTTTTCGAAAAACATTTATAATTATCGAATTATTCCTAACTTCTTAATTAAGATACAATACAAACTTTTAAAGTTTTTAAACATTTTTAAAAATATATTTTCATTCATATTTTATTATTATTTTTTTAGTTTATTCTTATAACTACTGTGTATTATTATTATTATTTTCATCATTATTGCGTTACTTTATTTTTATTAAAAAATTATGAATCTTCCGAATTTAAATAAAAAAAGTTATGAAGACTTTTGTTGATAATTATGAAGCAGATTCATTTGATTTAGTCAACTGTCGAGCTAGCGAACCACTAGCAAGTTGTAATGGAGTTTTACGTTCCTTATTTTCTACTTCCAAGCTCGCACCATGAGCCACCAGAAGTTTAGCTTCCTGTTGACGATCTTCTTCACAAGCTAAATGCAGTGCAGTGTTACCATAAATGTCCTGTGCATCTGCAATAATAAATTATCGTTAATTATTACGGTTTTTTTTTTTTTAAATTGTTACTTGACTGCAATGAATCAGTTTAAAAAATTGCCATCAGAATTTAAATTATAAAAATAGTATAAATTTAATTTTTCACCTTCAAGTTATCAATTAGTTAATACCTACAATAAAAAATAAATAATTACCAATATTAAGGCCTTCCTGAGCCAATAAAAATTTCAAAACTTCAACATTTCCTTTGGAAGCAGCTCGATGAAGAGGAGTAGCACCGCGTTTGTCAGCGATATTTATATCAGCTGAATTTTCAACAAGCTTTATGCAAATACTTTGCCAATTTTTACTTGCAGCATACTGTAATGCTGAATGCCCTTCTGTTGTTTGAGCATTTACTTTTGCACCTTCTGTTATCAACGTATTGACTACTTTTTCACGTCCAGCTGATGATGCAAGTATCAAAGGTGTTGTGTTGGTCTGTTAAATAAATTATAATGATTAATCTATATTAATAAGAGAAAAAGCAAAATTTTGTGGCCAGTGTATTTATATGATAAAATGGGTTTTTATGGTTAAATTTGATATCGATCGAAAAGTCTTGACCTGGAGTTGTGCCTTTTCAAGGTTTCATATCATTCAAACTAATAGTTAATTTATGATGATAAATATTTAGGCTGCATTCGAAAATGCTGTATTTCTAGATACATAATTAAGAAATGACCTTGTATCTTGTGAACTATTGACATTTTTAAAGATATAAGCTCATCCTGGTGTTATACTCATCAACGTGATCTATTGACATTTTTAAAGATATAAGCTCATCCCGATGTTACACTCATAAAGATTTTCATTTTGAGTACCCACATCAATTTTTCATATATTTATATATATATATAGATATATATTATATATAAATATATGAAAAATTGATGTGGGTACTCAAATGAAAGCTCTTGATGAGTATAACACCGGGATGAGCTTATATCTTTAAAAATATCAATAGTTAAGAAAGTACAATACAATTTAACATAATTAAGAAACTACCTTGTATCTTGAGAACTATTGACATTTTTAAAGATATAAGCTCATCCCGGTGTTACACTTATCGAGACCTTTCATTTGAGTACCCACATCAATTTTTCATATATTTTATATATATGAATATATGAAAAATATATCAAAATGCATGTGGGTACTCAAATGAAAGCTCTCGATGAGTCTAACATCGGGATGAGCTTATATCTTTAAAAGAATCAATAGTTAAAAAAGTACAGTGCAATTTAACAAAAGTTATCATTTAATAAAGCAAAATTTTATTTATCTATAGTTCACAAGTCACATAGTGACTGCAAGGTTGCTAGTTAATTTTGAAACAAATTTAAATTTTAAGATTGAAATTAAAAGTCGGTATTAATCATAATTATATAAAAATAAAAAAATTATCAAATGTCAGTTGTTTTTGACAGAATTATATATCACAGCACAAAACTTTAAGAAGTGTTAAAAATTATTCAATCTCAATTAATAAAATAAAAATTAAATTTCAATTTATAAATTCATTTTGCACTGTCATGTCGGCTAAATGGAATTTTTAGGTTAAAGAGGTAAAATTACATCGTCCTGAGGATCAACCGGTGAGCCGATGGATAACAAATGCTTCACTAGGTCATTGTGGCCTCCAAGTGCAGCCCAATGAATCAACATTCGTTCACTCTGTAAATAATTATGTTAGCGTTAAAATTTACAATAATAAAAAAAAAATAATAAAGAATTAAAATAACCTTTTTTTACCAGAAAAAGTTTTAATTTCTTACACTGTCAGTTTTAGTTTTTAGCTTGTCATCTTGATCCAGCAGATTTTTCACAGCAGTGAATTTACCTTTGTAGGCCATGTCAAACAAAGTTTCTTCTTGTAACATTTTTACTTTACGATTTTTACGTCTAACTATTTTCACAATAAACAGATGACGGTGTAAATAAACCAGAATATAACAATGATAGTTTCATGTACGTACTACAGGAAAGTAAGATGAAGGTACGCATGCGTGGACTGATTTATCGCACAAAAAAAAAATATTAACAATTCAGAAATTTGTTGCATAAGAAGAAATAATTTTTTGAAATCTACAATAATAATTAATTTTTTTAATCTTGTTTCCAAATTTATTAAGAAATTAGATAAGAATCTAAAGAAAATTTATGTTATAAATTATTTTAAAACTGAAATTAGCGAACACGTGATTTTGATGATTTTTTTCATCATAAATATGAATTTTTTAATTTATTGATTGATTGATAAGAAGAAATTCAGATTTTGATGCGGTTTAAAATTACTAACTCAGTATAATCTTCTTGTTAGCGTTATGAAAAATAAAAACTTGTTGCTTTACTTCAACATAGAAAAATTCATGAAAATGAAGTTAGCAGACATTTCAAAATTTTTAGAAATTTTTTATTGAAAAAATTTCAATTAAAGAATTTAAAAAAAAAATTTCACATGTAAAAAACTTAAAAAGCTATAAGTGCAATTTTTTAAAAATATCTTTTTAGTTGTAAATTAATTAATAAAAAAAAATCAAAAATTTTTAGGTGTCTGCTAACTTTAATGTCATAAAAATTCAAGTGTTATGATGTTGAAATTAAAAAACTTTTGGTTATATATTTATCATTTTTTTTTAACTAATAAATTAATAAAAAAAAATATTCAAGCATATAAATTATAAAAAACTATCAATGTAAATTTTACAAAATAATTTGTCAGTACGAATTAATTTTTTTCAATGAAAAAATTAAAAGAAAACTATTACATAATTACTATAAATAAATTAATAATAAAAAAAAAGTAAAATATAATAAATTGTCTTCATATTTTCTACTTCTACTTCAAACTTCCATCTATTGTATCTATTGTTGACAATCCATACTATACTCTCATGAGAAACATCACAATATATATATACATATAAAAAGTATTACTGACAAGTACAAAACACAGCACATTTTTTAATCAATTTTTATCAAGTCGTGTATTTGCTTATAAAGTAAATAAATTATAATTAATTAATAAAAATAAAAATCTATAAATAGTTAACTAAAATAAACCTGTTTTATTTTTCAGTGCCAACATTGACAAGCTACCGTGGAACGCGCAGTAAGTAAACAAGTGATTGTAGGTTAGGATTGACTAAAAGTAAACAAAAAATTTATACAATGAGAAGATCAGAGAGGTTAGCTGATAAAAAAGCGACTAATCAAACCGGAAGCAATGTTTTTCAAATGCCTACGCAGCAACTAGTGAAAAAAAGTGCTCCAGCTAAAAAACGAGCTGCCGGACAAAACAAAATCTCTGGAGATAGCAACAAAGTATCACAAGCTTCTGTTTGTAGATCCAGAGATTCGGCTATCAGACATCCTGAGAAACCAACAACGTTTTGTAACATAGCACCAAGAACTGTCAATGTTCCTCACTACCAAGTGTATCCAGTTGCGCCGAGCCATTATCCTGGAATAATAATGGCGCAAAGCAATGATCCAGTTCATCCAGATGTAAAGTTCAAAAATCAGCCATTTTATCCAGAGCTGGGTGAGTTAGTTAAACCAACAAGCTTAAGGGCTGTTTCAACCCAGCATCCGACACTGGAGAACAATTTTATGTTTTATTTATCACCTAAGCAAGCGGATACAATTGCTATCTCTCGGTACCGTCAGCCAGGTAGCAACAAAGTTGATCACTATGTTCAAGTGATACTGCGCTTTTGCTTACACGAAACTTCGCAAGAGCAAAACGATTACATACCACCAGATGTTAAGATTAAAGTAAATGGAACAAACCTCAGTGTACCCCAGGCTAAATATGTCAGCAGAGACAAGCCCAAAGAAGGACCAATGAAGCCGATAGACGTTACTGAGCTGATGAAATTGTCACCGACTGTCGGGAACTGGATTTCAATTGGTTGTCCGTACGACTTTGGAAGGAAGTTCGTCGTTGGTGTGTACCTGGTGAGAAAGTTAGCCCACTCTGACCTGATACAGCAGCTGAAGACCAAAGGCGTCAGACATCCTGATTATTCCAGAGCGATGATTAAAGAAAAATTGCTCGAAGATGCTGATTCGGAAATCGCCACAACTTCTTTGCGTGTATCCCTCAATTGTCCTCTGGGTAAAATGAGGATGAGTATACCCTGTCGGGCGTCAACTTGCGCTCACTTGCAGTGCTTTGATGCAGGACTTTACTTACAAATGAACGACTGCAGGCCAAGGTGGGTCTGTCCAGTTTGCAACGGACCTGCTACCTATGATTGTCTGGTTATTGATGGATATTTTCAGCAAGTTTTGGCCTCGGAAAAATTGCTGGCCAATGTCAGTGAGATACAGCTGCTGCCTGATGGCTCCTGGGAAAATTTACTGCCCAAGAAGGATTGTGATAAGGTCAAGAGCTTGGAAAGTGAGGTTCCGTCTGATGGCCAGGCAAATTCAACCGTAGTTCTGGATGCTACTCAAATTCAAGACGAAAAGAAAACTGATAACAATCTTTCAGTGGTTGATTTAGTTTCCAGTGATGAAGAGGATTCCAGAAATCCTGATGAACCTTTGGGTGCTAAAAGTTGTAAAATTAAAAAAATTAGTTCTAGTGACGTCAGTGAGGAAAAGTCCAGTAGTGTTATTGTTATTGATTTGGACTGAAAAATTTTTTGGTTTAAGTATTTATTGACAAATAATTATAACTTTTTTTTTTATTTATATTAAAGGGGAAAATACGTGTAGAAAAACGTTTTCATGCTGAGTTTTTATTTATTTTTTTAAGGTATGAAAATTAATGCTATTTATTGAAACTATCACCCTGAATAAAAAAAAGTATTGAAAAGTATTAGATTGACTAGAAAACGAATACTTTTCAATACTTTTTTCTTTGTCTCGATACTTTTTTTTTTTATTAGGGCACGTTATTTTATGCATATTAGGGTGGCGCAAAAAAACCGACTATTTTTTTTTTTAAGTCTCGAGTGAAAAAATGTTGGTTTTTGATGTTTTAAGAGCTCTCTCCCAAGGACAGTTTGAAAAAAATTTTTAAGAGGTCGCTCAAAATTTTTTTAAATTTCAAAAATCGTCGAAAATCGAATTTTAATTTTTTTTCTCGTTATGTCATAATTTTATAGACCAAAATAAAAGGTTTTCCTGAAAGTTTCAATTCAAAATGTGAGTTTTAAAAAATCGCTCATAATTTTTTTTTAATTTATTAGTGACTATTTAGTTGGATTAGCATTTTTTGACTCGGAAATTTAAAAAAAAATTATGAGCGACCTTTCAAAATTTTAATTTTGAATTGAACTTCAGGAACTTATTTTTTTTTTGGTCTATAAAATTATTAGTGACTATTTAATTGGATTAGGCATTTTTGACTCGGAAATTTAAAAAAAATTATGAGCGACCATTTCAAAATTTTAATTTTGAATTGAAACTTTCAGGAACTTAATTTTTTTTTTGGTCTATAAAATTATGACGTAAACGAGAAAAAAATTTAAAAAAAAAAAAATTTCGATTTTTGAAATTTGAAAAAAATTTGGAGCGACCTCTTAAAAATTTTTTTTTGAACTGTCCTTTGGAGAGGGCTCTTAAAACATCAAAAACTGACATTTTTTCACTCGAGACTCAAAAAAAAATAGTCGGTTTTTTTGCGCCACCCTAATACATATATTTATATTCTTTCATATTTTACAACTTCATAACTTAAAAAGTAGCGGTGATATCAGCTGATACACATTGTAGGTTGTCTTCCGACTTAGCAGTTGGTGTGCACTATGGAAGCCACAATTTTTATCTAAAATCAATGGCGCAGAATAATTACTTTTCTTTCTACAATTACGCTGAATATGAACCTCCATCATAGGCGATATTTTTTATTTAAGCTATTTTTTTTTTTTAATAAACAATGTATAAAAAATGGTAAAAAATCACGACTTAATTTCACAGCCCTCTAAAAAATGCAAATTTTTACTTTTTTTTTTTGGAATTGAGGTTCATATAGAAGATTCACATATAAAAAAAATAATTTTGTTGTGATGCGAAAAAATACTCATAAATATATGTATAAAATAACCTGATAGTTTCAATAAATAATAATAATTTCTTATACGTTAAAAAAATTTATGAAAATCAGTATGAAAACGGCCTTCTACACGTATTTCTCCCCTTAATTCAAAATAAGTGTGCTGATTGGATAAAAAGGAGACTTTATATTTTTGACTGAGCTTCTTAATTATCTAATTTTTTTATTTAATTCAATTAACTTAATAGCAAATGTTACTTTTAGGGGTTTTATTGTCAAAAATCTACAAAGCTTCATTTTTATCTAATTAATAAGATGATTAACTAAAGAGTTTTTGAGAAAGTGAATCAGAAAACGAAAAATAGAATATCATTATTACAGTTATTGTAATTAGATTAATAATATTTGAAATATTTATTGTCATTTAGTTATTAAAAATAAGGGATGTTAAATTTTTATTGTTGGTATAATTTAAGATACTTAAATAGTTAAATCATTTTTCATGTTGTCAGGTATAACATTATTATGATATTACAAACACATAAAGCGATATTTAAATTAATTTAATCATTGAAATTTAAAAATACTTTTACAGTTAACTTTTTTTTGTTATGGTATTAAGAAATATAATAATTATTTGTTTTAAGAACTAGGGTTTGAAGTGTTTTCCAAATATATTTTAATTTTGATACAAATATTATTAATTTTTTTTTTTTTTTCTATAATATGGTAATTTAATATATTTTTATAAGAATAATGATAATAAATAAAAGAAATTAAACAATTATTTTTATAACTAAAAAAATTATTGTAGCCAATTAGATGGTCACACCCACACGGAAAGATCAAGATGACACTGGATATCATCCCAGAAATTTTTTTTCACCACAGATATCACTGAGTATA